TCCTATCCGCCAGAATGGAAGCTTTATGGTGGCACAAACTGTCCCAGCAGCTAGCACAGAGCCTACCTCATGGCGGTCAGGGCTGCCACAGAAGGTTGTAAAGGTTGTTCGCTGTATTAGAGCTTCCGGCCGAGGAGCTGCGGGTGCTGATACCCAGTCTGCCCTCTGTTCCCACGATGTGGGGCCATCCAGCAGGTTGGCATCTGCTATTTTGCAATGTATGACATATGGGCTGGCTGTGACTCTGGTGGCCATTCAAAAAATATTCATTGAATAAACGACTGAATGATGGATGTGCAGACCCTCTGCTTGTTTTCCTCTGCAGGGCCTCATGCCAGTTACCTACCTTCTCACAGTCTCATCTTCCTTTTCTGTTAAAGGGACAGTTAACATCTATCTCATAGCATGATTACAAGGATTAAGTGAAATAGTTCATTAAAAAGCTGGCACAAATATGATTCCATTTATATGAAATATCCAGAACTGGCAAATCCATAGAGATCAAAAACAAATTAATGGTCGAAAGGGACATGGGGAATATACTGCTTAATTGGTCAGGAGTATCCCTTTGGGGTGACGAAAACGTTTTAGAACTAGAGTGATGGTTGCATGACATTATGAATGTACTAAGCACTACTGAATCATGTACCTGAAAATGGCTAACATGGGGAATTTTATGTACTGTGGATTAGGTTATGGAATATGAACACCTCAATTTAACAAAACCTGGCACAGTATCTAGGACAAGGTAGGTTTTTAATATCAGTTGAATTTCATGATTTCCTTGCTTCAAAAATAAAGTAAAACCCTACGCCCTCCTTGTTGCCTAATTGCCCCATCCAGGATAATCCTCCTTTTCCTCAAATTCATTTCAGAAGTGTGTATTGTTGCCATTTTAGATATGAAGATATGATGGAAATAAGATAGATGCAGAACCCTCCCCCAGAGTTTACAGACTGGCAGGGGAAACTAAAGAGAAAATCACACTCCCACGTGTTCAGGGATATAGGGGAGAAAGGCCACAACTGCAGGGGCACAGGGGAGAGTGGTGAAGGCAGGAGTCCCAGGAAAAGAGCAGAACCTGCAGAGCCAGGGAGATGAGGGAGCATGGTGGGTTCTGGGAATAGAAAATAGTTTGGTGGCCAGGCGTGGTGGCTCATGCCTGTAATCTCAGCACTTTGGGAGGCTGAGGTGGGCAGATCACTTGAGGTCAAGAGTTTGAGACCAGCCTGGTCAACATGGCAAAAACCTGCCTCTCCTAAAAATACGAAAATAGCTGGTCATGTTGGTACGTGCCTGTAATCCTAGCTTGAACCCCGGAGGCAGAGGTTGCAGTGAGCTGAGATCGTGCCACCGCATTCCAGCCTGGATGACAGAGTGACTCTGTCTCAAAAAAAAAAAAAAAAAAAAAAAAGAAAAGAAAAGAAAATAGTTTGGTGTAGCAGCCACAGAGGAGGCAGGAAAGGATGGAAGGGATGGCCCTGAGCGTTCAGATTTCATCTTAAGATCTTCGAGGCCAAGTGTGAACTGGCCCCCACCTTCCAGCCACAGTCCTACCATGCCTTGTTTGCAACCCCTCTCTGTAGCCCCCACTTTATTTTTTTGAGACAGGGTCTTCCTCTGTTGCCCAGGCTGGAGTGTAGTGGCACAATCATGGTTCACTGCAGCCTAAAACTCCTGGGTTCAGGCATTCCTCCCACCTCAGCTTACCCAGTAACTAGGACTACAGGTGAGCATTATTACTGTGCCCAGCTAATTTTTGTGTTTCTAGTAGAGATGGGGTCTCCCTATATTGCCCAGGCTGGTCTCTGACTCATGGGCTAAAGCAATCAACCCGCTCCGACCTCCCAAAGTGCTGGGATTACAGGCATGAGCCACCATGCCTGGCCTCTCTGCAGCCTTTGTTCCCACTGTGCCTGTTCTGTCCTTGTGAATTCGGGGCCTCCAGGCCTTGGTGAGTGCTGTCCTTCCTCCCTTAGGTAGTTACGGGGAGGCTGCCCTGGGTTAGCACTGTGCCGGGAGCCCAAAGGCTGCCCAAGTCTGCCCCTCTGACCCCGGGAGAGTGAAGAATCACAAGATAATGAGAAATGCTGCAGTAGTGGGTGGTCTGGGCATGGAGAGCGGGGGCTCGCAGGGTAGAGGGTGGGCTCAGGGAAGGTAACTCCTGAACTGGAACTCGAAGAACAAGGGGGACCAGGCCCAGAGACGAGGAGTAGGGCAAAAGGGAATCAGTGGGCACCCAGGAGAGGTTCAGAGCCTGGCTGGTGGGGTCACAGGATCCTGAGATCCAGGTGAAGGCTGAGCCCCCATCCAGATCCACCCCTTACTCCCTACACACACATTTGACAGGCAAGTTTGGAGTGTTCTTGGACTTTCTGGCTTTGCCTGGGACGAATGCCCTCCCCACCTGCCCTGGTTCCAGCCCACCACCCTCTCAGGCCTGCAAAACTCCCTCCTCAACTCTGGACTTTGTACCAGCCACCGGAAGTTCACTGGTTTATCAGCCTGAGCACCTGCCTGCTGAGGTGTCTGCCCCTCTAGGGCCCGCTGGACCCTTCTCTGGGTCCCAGCTGTATAAACACTCAGCGTTAGGGGGTGAGAGTGAGGTGTACGCCCATAAAGTTCTTGGCAAAAGCTTGGGGAGATGTAAAATGAGCCCTCTCCACTGGAGGCGCTGCCTGTAGCCCGCCCTCTGCCCGACCTGCAGCTTCAGCCCCGCCTCCACTGCTTCTGCAGGTGAGTCAAGTTTGGCCTTGCCCCGCCCACCTGCCCAGGTTCTGCCCGCCCCAGCCGGAAGCTTATTCCTCGGACTGTGCACAGTTCTTGAAGGTGGGAACCGAGGAGAAGGCCCGAGGGGCTGGGGAGGGGGTACCCAGGCCCTGCACAGATCCCCAGGGGCTCCTGGCAGCAGGAAAGAAGCTACACAACAGAGTGGGGGTAGGTGTCTGTGCATATCAGAGGGTGTGTTTACTGGTGGAGGAAAGTGTGACCTGGGGGGAGGGGCTGTGTGTGGGGGCGGGGATGGGCAGGTCAGTGTGGGCTGTGAGTTCAGAGGCCTGATATAGATTGTATATGTGCCCTTGGAAGGTTAGTGTGTGTGCGTCTTCTTCAGAAGAATTCACAGGGACAGGACAAGGAAGAAAGGAATAGGAGTACAGTCTTAGAAACGTCAGATGGAATTCAATTAATCCCAGTATAGCACATTCTCACGTTTTTCGGACCTAGTGCTAGGATGAGGCCCACTGCAGGCTGAGGAATGAATGAGCAGCTGACCTCTCCTTCCCAGGACATCTCTCCCTCTCCCCTCATTAATTTCACAAGAACTGCACTGAGTGGCTGAGTGACCAGCTCCCTGCAGCACCAGCCAGGGTACAGATCCCTCAGCCCGCCCTTGCCCCCCAACCCCCAGGGAGCTGCCCACCTAGCAATGACTGGTTCTGACTGGTGGTTGACTGGGCAGGATGGTGACAGGTCACCCAGGATAGATTCAGAGACAACCTCACAGGCAGGTATGGTCTGATTTGGCCTTGACAAATGGGCCCCCAAAGCTGAGGAGGGTGTGGCCAGGGAGCAGGAGGGTGGGTGAGTGGGAGGGGGGGTGTGTGTCTGTCAGAAGTGCTGGGGAGGGAACTGCAGAGAAGAGGAAGAGTTGGCTCCAGGGCGGTGTACTGGATGGCAAGGCACCGTGGGGCACAGGGAGCTTTTGAAGGGATTTTAAGCAGGCTAGTGATGGGGTCAGATTTGGGTTGCAGGCCCATCACTCTGGGGAAGAGACCAGAGGTGGGGAAACCAGTTAGGAGATTATGACTAGAGTACAAGAGGAAGATGGCTTGGACTCAAATGTGGCAGTGGGGTGGAGAGGAGGGTATTGTCATTCCAGAAATGCTTAGAGGAAGAGCTGATGGGGCTTGATGCCAGGTTGGACGTGAGGAGGTAGGGGGGCATTTTGAAGGCACTTGTATCAAAGAATATGCCGGGGTACTCCCCTCAACTTCTCTCCTAAGTATTTCCCTAGCCTGGCTACTCTCTCTCCAAGAACTCCCTGGTTCAGGGGCTCCACCTGCAGATACTCTCCAGCCCTAGTGTTCCTCCTCCAGGTACTTCTCTAACTTTCATGCTCCTCCTCTAGATACTCCCCAGATTCAGGTGCGTCTCCTCCAGACACTCCTTTGACCCAGGTGCTCCTCCTTCTGGTTTTCCAAGCCTAGATGACCTGCCTCCAGCTACTCCCTTAATTCAGGTGTTCCTCCTCTAGGTGCCCCCAGCCCTGGGTGATAATTTCCTGATTCAGGTGATCCTTGTTTGGATACTCCCTGGTTTAAGCCTCCCTCTGGGGGCAGAGTATGGGCCTAGTGTGAGTAGGGGTTAATGGACAAGGGTTTGCTTGAAGGGCTGAAGGTAGAGGTGGGCAGCAATGGTTTTCAACTTAGAGGGAGAGGGCCAGGGCTGCTCTGGCTATGTCCAGGGCCCTTGTCCTTGGTAGGGACTTGCATCGTCCTCCCCATATGTGGTCTCTGCTTTGGCTGGGTAGCTCCAAGCAACTGCTGTTTTCTGACCTTGGGAGCCAGGACTCACCTCTGCCCCTGTCTCTCCTCCTCAGCTTACCAAGCAGTGCAACAGGGGCTCTGGGTTCGAACCTGGGGGCCCTGGTTGAGTCAGTTCACCCTTCTTAGCTTCAGAGCCCTCATCTATAAAGTGGGGATAATGTATATACCCATCTTACTGGGTTTTGTGAGTGTGATGCCTGGTGCCTGAATTGTAAGGAATGCTAAGTAAGTTCTACAATTTATTTATTTTTTTTAGCAGCTTCTAGAGCCAAACTCTGGGATGGTCCCTTACAAATAGCCAGTTTCTGTAGGTTCAGCTTGTTTCTCTTCTGTGGACAGCTGTTGTGTTGAGTTGTCCAGGCCTCGGAGTTTGTGTAGTGCCACCATGGCTGTATGACCTGGGAAGTGCACCCTGTGACTGTCCCTGACACCCAGACCTATGTTATTTTCCAGGACTTGTGCCCCGGGGGTTTCCTGTCTTCTCGGGGCCTTCTCAGACCCAGGGCTTTTTCTGGTGGAGGCTGAGACTCACTGGTGTCATCAGGCCCCTCCATGAATGAGACAAACAAAAGTGAGTGACAGTGGGAGGATGATGGGGGTGGGGAGGTTCCCCTTAGCTGCTGGGGTTGGGGGAAGGACCCCATCTGCACTCCTCTTGGTTTCTTCAGGGAGCCCCCTCTGGGGCCCACCTATAATGCTGTCCCTTTCTCTGCAGCACGTGTGGGGCCCTCGGAGCTCCCCACAGCATCCGCTGTGGCCCCTGGCCCAGGCACTGGGGCTCCAGCATGGCCTGTGCTGGTAGGGGTTGTGCTGGGGGCTGTGGTCCTCTCTCTCCTCATTGCACTTGCTGCCAAATGCCACCTCTGCCGCCGATACCATGCCAGCTACCGGCACCGCCCACTGCCCGAGACAGGAAGGAGGGGCTGCCCACAGGTGGCCGAAGATGAGGATGATGATGGCTTCATCGAGGACAATTACATTCAGCCTGGGACTGGAGAACTGGGGACAGAAAGTAGTAGGGACCACTTCTCCCTCTGAGCTCTGGTGTTTGGACACTCCCTGCTCCCTCCACGCCCAACAGCTTAAGGACAGTGGTTATGACATTGACATCAGAGTCTTGAACCTCACGGACAGAGGTGGCTGGGGCTTAAAGGTTGGCCAGGGATGGAGCAATCCCCACTTCCCCGCTTCACTAGCCACCAAAGTGGCCATGAACCCTTTCTTGCTCAGTGACTCTCAAAGGCTCCCTGCTGTTCTCAGGAGCCAAACAAAGGCTCCAGTGTGGACTTAAGGCTCTCTGTGATCAGGCCTGTGGGCCTCTTGGTTTCTTTTCTTGCCATCCCCTACTTTATTCATAGAATAAATGTTATTCTCCCTCCTGTCACTGCCCATGCAGTTTCCCCAGCCACCTTTGCTCACATTGGCCCACCTGCCTATACTAGTCTTCTAAATCCTCTCTGACTGTGATGAAAACCCTAGTCAGTAGGTCCTGTGTGACCTGCCTATCTGCCAGCATTATAAATGGGCCCAGATGGTAACATTTGAGCAGGTGAAAACCAGTGCCAAGCTTCTTTTTTTTTCTTTTCTTTTTTCTTCTTTTTTGAGACAGAGTCTTACTTTGTCACCCAGGCTGGAGTGCAATGGCATGTCTTGGCTAACTGCAACCTCTGCCTCCCGGGTTCAAGCAATTCTCCCTGCCTCAGCCTTTTGAGTAGCTGGGATTACAGGTGCATGTCAGCATGCCCAGCTAATTTTTGTATTTTTAGTGGAGACAGGGTTTCACCATGTCAGCCAGGCTGGTCTCGAACTCCTGACCTCAGGTGATCTGCCCACCTTGTCTTCCCAAAGTGCTGGGATTATAGGCGTGAGCCACTGTGCCAGGCCAGCTTCTTAATGAAATATTTTCCTATCAATAAAGTGGGTACTCTGGTTATAATGTTTTTCACAGGAATTAATCTATTTTCATTTTGAATAAAAATAAAAAGTTGTCACTCATTTCTATTTTTCCTGAGCTGGGCTTTATCACTCAGAGCTAGAAGACACTGCTCCCACGTTACCCCTTCCAGGACACTTTCCATGAGCTTGTTCCTCTAATAACACCTTGTGAGTTTCTCTACTATTGTCCTGCTTACATTTTATTTTCATCTTTTTGTTTGTTTGTTTTGAGATGGAGTCTTGCTCTTGTCGCCCAGGCCAGAGTGCAATGGCATGATCTTGGCTCACTGCAACCTCTGCCTCCCAGGTTCAAGTGATTCTCCCACCTTAGCCATCTGAGTAGCTGGGATTACAGGTGCCCACCACCATGCCCAGCTAATTTTTGTATTTTTAGTAGAGATGAAGGTTTGCCATGTTGGCCAGGCTGGTCTCGAACTCCTGACCTCAGGTGATCCACCCACCTCGGCCTCCCAAAGTGCTGGGTTTACAGGCATGAGCCACTTCACCTATTTTTTTTTTTTTTTTTTTTGACACAAGGTCATCCAGGCTGCAGTATGGTGGGGCAATCACAGCTCATTGCAACATCAACCTCCTGTGCTTAAGTAATTCTCCCATCTCAGCCTCCCAAGTAGCTGGGAATACATACATGTGCCACTGCACATGGCTAATTATTTTTTGTAGAGATGGGGCCTCACTGTATCACCCAGGCTTGGTTTGAATTCCTAGACTCTAGCCATCCTCCCGCTTCTGCCTCCCAAGGTGCTGGGATTTACAGGCATGAGCTAAATTTAGATTTAGATTTCCAGGTCTGGACCCTTCTTTGTGCTATTCCTTCTTTTTGGGATACTCTTTCCAACCTTTCCAGCTGGACCAGCTGCTTCTCATCCCTAGGTGGCCAATTGAGATTGGCCATTTCTTTTCATTCTTTTTCTTCTATGGCCAATCCCTCGCTGCACATGGCAGCCAGCAAGTCCCAAATCCTTTTTTTTTTTTCTTTTTTTGAGACAGAGTCTCACTCTGTTGCCCAGGCTGGAGTGCAGTGGTGTGATCTCAGCTCACTGCAACCTCCACCTCCTGGGTTCGAGTGATTCTTCTGCCTCAGCCTCCTGAGTAGCTGGGACTATAGGCGTGTACCACCACACCTGACTAATTTTTGTATTTTTAGTAGAGACGGGGTTTCACCATGTCAGCCAGGCTGATCTCGATCTCCCGACCTTGTGATCCACCTGCCTCAGACTCCCAAAGTGCTAGGATTACAGGCGTGAGCCACCGCGCCCAACCGCAAGTCCCAAATCCTATTCGGGCCACAGTACCCTACTCCCCTAGTGGAAGTCTTTCCATGTTTTCTAGTGTCCTGAGGACAAAGTCCAAATTCCTCTGCTGGGCTGCCAAGGCCATTGGACAGGCAGAAGTCAGGGAGGAGAGATTTGGTGGGTGCTGTGGAGAAGGGCTCCCGTCAGGGGTTGTCGCCTTCACATGAAGGGAGGAGACTAAGTCTTCTGTAGAGAGTGGTGTTGGGGGTGGGAGGTGAGCACGGAGGGAGGGGATGTGATGGGATGGGGCGGGGTGGGGTGGGGGTTGAAGAGGGTGGAGAAAACTTCAGAGTCACTATGGGAGCCGTAGCCGACCAGGAAAACGCAGTATCACCGACGAGCTGCAGTGCAGATTCAGTTGAGAAATTTTTTTTTGTATTTTTAGTAGAGACAGGGTTTTTGCCATGTTGCCCAGGCTGGTCTTGAGCTCCGGGGCTTCCCGAAGCATGGGGATTACAGGCATGAGCCACCATGTCTGGCCTCAGCTGAGAACTTGATATAGGAGTTCCCAGTGACAGTAGGCTGTCTGGGTGTGCAGATTTCTCTAATGGTCACTCACAGTGGGGCAGGCGCATCCAAGGCAGATGGATGGATTCGTCCATGGAGGGGGTTTGCCTGGGAGGGTGGGACCCAAGGGCAGGGGGCTAAGGACTCTGAGGAGTCTGTCAAAGAGCAGATGAAATGATGGGTCACAGAACCTTAACCAGATGGTCAGGGAAGTAGACAGGAGAGGACAGTGAAGTCAGGAGGCAGCAGCTTTACAAAGAGAGAACAGAGATGTCAGTGGGCTTCTGGTTGCAGTGGAGGCAGTGAAGGTATGTATGTTTGTATTCCCAGCTACTTGGGAGGCACACACACTGCCATCGGGCCATGCCAGAGTCCTTCATCCACCCAATAAAGAACCTACTCTGTGTTAGGCCCATGCTGGGAGCGAGGGATACACAGATGGGCACAATACCAACCTGGTTAGGACAAGCTCACCTGATCAAGGAGACAGGCACAAAAAGAATTGCAGATGGGTCTACAATGGAGGGTGCTGTGGGCATAGAAAGAGGGCAACTCTCTGGTCTAAGGGCCAAGGAAGACTCCCTGGGGAACTGGTTCTTGAAGGACAAGAAGGCAAAGAGAATGGAACATGTAAAGGCTGGCAGAAGGGAGAGGGCCTGGGGAGTTGGTGGAAATAGTTCAGCGGGGCTGCTCATGGGGTTCTTTGAGTGAGACCAAACCAGGTTAGGGAGCCTGGAAGGGGTGGCAGCCATAGACCGGCTCTTAGGCAGATTTTCGTTTTAGCTTTAGGATGATCACTCTGGCTCAAGGATGTGCATGTGTGTGTGCATGTGCATGGCCACCCACGGGAAGGTAAATGAAGAGAAACGAGCAGAAGCAGGGAGCTAGAGGGAGGCTGCTGCGCCACTCCGGCAGGGATGAAGCGGGTCCCTTCTGGGCAGTGAGCATGAAGATATGGATTGCCAGACAAATCTGTGTGACAGAAACCGGAGGAGTTGGTGATTTGTCACTGAACTTGACTGAGGAGACAGTGCAGGTGCCATCTAGCACTGCCCAGAGTCTCTAACCTAGATGCCTCCTGAGCGTGGCACCTCTGGGTGAGATGGAGGAGCTGTTCAAGATGAGAGGAGAAGGGTCAGTTTTGAATATGGTATGAGGCGCCCCTGGAGCACCCAGGGGAGTCGTTTCTGTTGTACTTGGCATTCTGGGACATGCCTTGTCTTTCTCTCCTGGGTCTGTGCGTGCTGTTCCCTCCCTCTGTTGGCAGCAGTCTTCCCCTCATCTGCCAGCCCGGTGTTTTCTCCAGGAGACATCCCTAACCTTGCCTGCGTAAACCAACTTTTGTTGTCAGAGCCTTTGTAGCTCTACTGTAATGTCTCTTTGGAGATAGGTCTCATTTCCCTGCCTCTCTGGGCATCGTCCACTGGCTTGATGCAGTCTGCACCTCAAGAAGCAGGAAGTGATGAAACATTTGAGTGCCACTTCCTGAGGATCTCCATCACCTAGGAAATGTCACTGCACGCTACAGGAGGGAAGATCCTCCCCGGGTGTACTCCAAGCAGGAAGTGACTCTCACCACCCCAGGGGGTTTGAAGCACCTCTCCCCTGGCTGGGCGCGGTGGCTCACGCCTGTAATCCCAGCACTTTGGGAGGCTTAGGTGGGAGGATCATGAGGTCAGGAGTTTGAGACCAGCCTGGCTAACGTGGTGAAACCCCATCTCTATTAAAAATACAACAACAATTAGCTGGGCACAGTGGGAGGTACCTGTAATCCCAGCTACTTGGGAGGCTGAGGCAGGAGAATCACTTGAACCCAGGAGGTGGAGGTTGCAGTGAGCTGAGACCATGCCACTGTACTCTAGCCTGGGCAACAAAGTGAGACTCCATCACAAAAAATCAAAACAAAACAAAACAAAAACACCTCTTCCATGCCCAGGAACCCAGAGCAGGCCAGTGTGTGCAGTCACTGCCCAGACTCGGGATGTTCTGGTTTCAGAGGTGGGGCAGGGAGCTGTAGCCTCCCAGCCACCCTCAGGGAATCCACGTAAGAGGCACAGCCGAAGGGAGGTGCAGACACCAGAGAAACCGGCTGATAACACCCAACACTTAAGGCCTTGTCTTGAACCAGCATGTGAGCAAATTCGAAGGACTCAAGTCCCTCACCCCTCCCTGGGCCTGGAAACCCACCACTTTCCCAATGCTGGCATCCGTCCACTCAATCCTCTCCCTACCTAAGAGGAGAAAGAGGGTCCTGGCTGAGGAGACCTTCAAGGCACCATTTATGAGGCTGAGATAGGAGTGAGGAGCTCGCTCTGGATGGGGTGGGGCATGGGGTAGGGGAGGACGGGCCTCTGAGGTGAGATCATGAGGCAGAGACAGTGACAATGGCAGCGGCCATTTTATTGCATCTCCACCACAAGCCCCGCCTTCGATACACAATGACACTTCCGCCTCACAATCCATGACCACAACCACGACAGCCACGAACCTCCAGGAACGGAGGCTGGGAGGTGAAATCACTCACCCGACTCCCCCAGCTGCTAGCACAGTGGAGGAGTCCCTCCAGGTCTGTCTTACTCCACAGCCCATATTCTTTCTGCCTGGCCAGCAGTCACCCTCTCAATGAGCAGGCACAGGTGCCGTCTTGGGTGGGCACCGGTCACCCCCATGGAAATCCCTGACGGATGTTATAGGACAGGATTGGATTTGAGGGGTTTTAGAAATGGGGCTCAGGCATCGTCAGCATGATGTGTTTCTGAGCCTGTTGACCTGAGACACAGACAGGCAGTTCCATGGACACAAACACCCGGGTCCCAGGAGGCATGCACTGACCTTCCCATGATGTGGATATGTGGGAACACATGGGCTCTTAACCACACGCCACGCACCCACAGAAGGGCTGACCCCGCTGGGGGCATAGACGCACTCACATATCCTCAGTGTGCACATGCACCCACGCCCTGGCTCGGCTCTGGGGACGCTGAGGCAGGTATGGGAAGAAGGGCTGTGGCTCCGTCAGATGAGGCTGGCGATGCTGGATGTGGTCTCGTGATGCCGGCCAGCAGACAACTGTCCTGAGATGCTGAAGATGCTGCCATGGCCACTGTGGGTGGAGGGGGCGGCCATACAGATGGAGGGGCAGTGTCCGCTCACACCCACTTGATATAGTAGCAGGCCCAGCAGCAAAAGCGAGCCCAAGGCAGCCAGAGCAATACCCACAGACAGCATGGCGGCCAGTGGCCGAGCAGGGGCAGGGGCAGCGGCCAGCCCGGCCAGTGTCAGGCCGGTGACTAGCAGCACAAGTCCACTGAGCAGCACCACGAGGGCATCGGCCCCTCCTCCACTGCGCAGCAGGGCCACATGGTGAGCCTGGCGGATGCAGTTCATGTCCTGCACGGCCGAGCTCATCAGCTGTTTCACCAGCACCAGGAGAGCCAGCAGACAGAGCACAGTGCCCGTTGCTAGCCGCCATTCGCCTGAGCGGCTGCTGGTGGTTGACAGCAGTGCCACGCCACCCGCCCCACAGCCTGCCACGAGGCCCACAGCCACGACAAAGCAGAGTGCTGAGCGCCTCGGCTGCTGGGACCACCACAGCTCCACCTGCTCTGCCAGCATGTCCGGGGGCAGCCCCCGGCCCCCTGGGGCTTGAGCCTCCTGTTCAGACATGGCTTGGTCAGGCAGGGGTCAGGGCAGGAGGTGTCAGGGGTCAGAGGGTGCAGATCACAGGCTGGAGCCCCTGCCACCTGCTTGGCAGTTACAGGCCCGGAGTCCCATTCCTCTCACAGTCCAGGATATGGTCACCATCACCTGTAGGGGAAAGATTACAGTCTTACCTTCCCAGCCCACCTGTCCCCCATGGTCACACCTGGGAGCCTTGGGATGGTCCCTGAGAATCCACCCTGGTGTCACCCCCAAATCTCCCCTGGGAAAGCCCCCTCTGCAGCACTGTCCCTTGGGAATGCCTCTCAATGACCCCAGGGGAGTGCCCTGCCCATAGAGTACCCCCCACCCCACAAACCCTCCAGGGAGTCCCCTCACCCAGGTTCTGAGCTCTTTGCCTCTGGCTCTCTCAGTCGCTTGTCCCATCCCGGCTGGCTGAGGGAGCTGGTGCCACGGTGGATGATGGGATGATCAGCCAGAGATAAAGCCTCATTCAGGATCTGACTCACATGGCCTCAGCTGTCACCACTGGTTCCTGGGGGGGTAGCTGTGGGTATGGAGGGGGTGCTTATGACTTAACCCTTCTGGAACCAGAAGCCTGACTGACCTTGACTCTTCTGTTTTAGGGCTGTGTCTCCTCCTTCTCTGTGGGTTAGGACCAGACCCCTAACACCCTCCCTCCCCTAACATCACATCCAATCTCACAGCCACAAGTTTGGTGATATAAGCTGCCAGTTCCCAAATTCCTCTTTCCAACCTAGACCTCCCTCCTGAGTCAGCTGTCACTTCAATGTCCCTGGTGATGCAACAGGTCCCAACCCAAGCTTATTATCTTACCCCAACCTGCTCCTCCTGCTTCCTCACTTCAGGCACTGCATCCCCACCCTCTCAGCCAGCTCCTCCTCCCTCTGCTGTATCTGTCCTGTCCCCCGGCTCCACTTCGAAACATTTCTCCAGCCAGTTCCCTGCAGTCATCTCCACGGCCCGCCTCTACCTCCTCACTGGTCTTCCCGCTCTCCTCGCTCTTCTCCACACTTGCCATTCCCCCATGCCATCCTCCTCCATGATCCCTCTAAAGTGGAGCAAGGAAGAAGGAGGGCTCTGGATTTGGACACCAGCTCCAGTCCTTCCCACTGGCAGGAGCCTGGCCAGGCACCTAGCAGTGGTTGCTCATTTAACCTGCCTTCCAGAGGACAGCATGTCTCACACTGGGCAGAAATAAAGCACATGTGGTCCCTGCCCTCAGGGAGCCCCAGTCTGCAGCAGGAGAGAGACAGAAGCAAACAGGCCCAGTCCCTGTGCTAAGTGCGGGTGTGGACCCTGCAGAGCCCAGAAGAGGGGCCTGGGGGAAGGGCCAGGAAGCCTGAAGGTTTCATCTCTTAGAGTCTCAGTCTCCTTATCTGAAAAGTGAGGACAATAACAAAAAAAAAGTGAGGGGTGGGGATAAGTCACCTGACATCTTTGTTTCAGAATTCCAATGGGGCCTAGAGCCTGCATAGATGCTCAAAGCGTGCTTTTTGAATACATGAAAACGATTTACCCCCTCCAAGGCAGGACAGTGCAGAAGATGTAGGTCCTGGGTCATTCTGGGAATATTACTATGTGGCTGTGCACAGGTTACATCCTGTTGAGGTATCTGTCCTCCCCGAGACTCCTCTGCAGAGGCTGATCCCTACCTTCTAGGTGGGTGGGGGCTGGTGCCGCCATCCCCAAGGAAGTGGGGGAGGTGGGCGTGGCCAGGGAGTCAGTCCCAGCATTCCCCTGGGCTGTGGCTTCGCTGGTCTGAAAGTGCTTGCACAGGTGTGCTGAGCCAGTGGGGGCCAGGCTGGGGGTGGGGGTGGAGGTTCTCCGAGGAAAAGCTAGTGGGAGAAGGTGGGGACGGTGAGGCCTGGGGGGACTATTGGGGAACTCACGAGAAGCCTGGACGTGCTGAATCCGATCCGAGAAGGCAGGGCCAAGCAGGTGGGGCACTCCAGCTCTGTTTCCGGGGAGATACTTCACCTGCCTAACCTGCACTCAGGTGAGTGTGGGGGGAGGAGGATGAACAGGTGTCGTTTCCAGGGCAGGGCCTGAGCCGATTGGCTGACGTGGCACTGCTCCTTCTGCTTGGCAAAGGCATTCCTGGGAAGGGAGGGGCTTCTGTCTGCTGCTGTTAGGGCTCGGAACACAATTCGCAGACCTGGTCAGCAGGAGGAATGTCGTCTATCTGCCCCAGAGCCTGGGCGCCAACCCGCCCCCAGCTTTGACCCTGATTTAGCTTTAGCTCCAGTTTCAAAACCAGCTCCCAACTCCAGCTGCAGTTGCAAACCCTAGCTAGAACTTCCAGCTTCCACCCCGGCCCCAGCTCCTGCCGCACGTTTCGACCCCAACCCCCAGCCCCGTTTCCAAACCCAATTCCAGTTCCAGCTGCAAATCCAACCCAAAATCTGGCTAGAAGCCTCAGCCCCCAACTCCTAACTCCAATCCAAATTCTGACTAAGATCCTAGATCTCAACCTCACACTCAGCCCGAACCTCAACTCCTGTTCCTGATTCCAGCCCCCAAAATCAACACCAACCTCAAACTCAGCTTTAGCCCCAAATTCCAACACCACCGTACCCCCAAATGCAGCCCCAGTACCTCCATTCCTTGGCCCTGGGCTGGAGCCTCCACAAGCCCCTTGCTCATTCTCCCTCAAGCCTCAAATGCCTGGCTTACCCCACAGACTGGATCCTGCTGGGGAAGCAGGATTTGAGTGAACAGGGAATGGAGTGGGGGCGGTGAGGGGGTGAAGGCCTTTCAGGTGGGAGACAGGAGCTCCTAGAATAAACACTTGAAAATCAATGCCACACTCCTTCACAAGGCTCAGAAAGCCCCTGCCATATGCACCAGGCCAGTCATTTGCCACTGGCACCCTGCTCTCCTCTCTGCTCTTCCCGTTTTTGAACTTAAGAGTTGTCCCTTGCCTGGGATATTTGCCACTCCCAGCCTCAGTCTGCGTGATTTGCATTCTTCAATGGAGATGCCACCTCCTCCAGGAAGCCCTCCCTGACTCGCAGGCTGGTTTAGGTGCCTCTTTGGTGTACCCATGGCCTCTGTGCTTCCCCAACAACTACTCTTACTGCAACGTGCTTAAGTGCCTTTTGTGTACTTACCTGTCATCCCCTGCTAGATGTGTGGTCTCCAGCAAGTACAGGGACAGTGCCTCTTGCTAATCATCATGACCTCAGTAGCTAATATGTAGGAAGTAATCAATACATATTTGTTGAATGATTGATTAGTGGATGAAATGAAAGTGTGAACGGACAGGTGTGGGGGTTTTGAGCAGGAAGCATGTGAGATGAAGCTGGAAAGACAAGTTTGGCTAAGGCTGTTCATGGCCTTGAAGGCCAGAGTGAGGCACTTGGACTGTGTAAGGTGCCCATGGAGAGTTCTGAAGTTTAACAGGGACATCATTGGAGCTTCTAGTAGGCAAATCTGGCACTGCAGACACTACCCTCTGGACCGGCGAAGGGCAGGCTGGCTGGAGTGGGTATAAGCTGCCCCCCATCTCCTGGACCAGTCCCTGTGATGTCTCTTGCTCTCTCCTCCTGATGTGTGAACTAGAAAAGAAAAACAAGATCACACTTATCTTGCAATTATCAGTTCACAAAATAATTGTGCTTGACCTGCTTTTGCATCTTTTTGCTTTGTTCCGTGGGGATGACTGGGGGCCAGTCATAATTCTAGAACAGCTCTGTCCACTAGAAATATAGCGTGAGCCACATATATAATTTAAACTTGTCAAAAAGCCGCATTCAAAAATGAAAAAGAAACCCACAAGATTAATATAGTTAAATTAATATATTTTATTTAATTCCAAAACACATTATATGTTGTTGAGCTATTTTACAGTTTATCTTGCACAGGGTATTTTATTTTTATTTTTAAAAATAGAGATGGGGGCCTTGCTCTGTTGTCCAGACTGTTCTCAAACTCCTGGATTCAAGCGATTCTCCTGCCCTGGCTCCCCAAAGTGTGGAGATTACAGGCGTGAACCGAAAGTCTTCAAAATTTGGTGGGTATTATTTTACACTTACAGTGCATCTCATTTATCCCAGCCACATTGCAAATGCCCAGGTACCACATCTGTCACGTGGCTGTGTCCTTACTGGGTGGCACAGCTTTAGATGTCCTTTCCCTCCAGAAGGTCAGGGCAGGCTGGATCAGAGGATGGTTGGGAGGAGTGGGGTGGGGAGACAATGGTGTGGCATTGCAGGTGTTCATGCTGCCACTTTGCAGAGCATTATAAAGGTATCCCCTTTATAATAAAGGGGCTTGACTCAGAGGAGCAAGGGAGCCAGGGGCCCCACAGGGCTTGCTGGCTGCAGATTCCGCTTGCACACATCTGACATTTATTTACCCACCCTGGTCCCCAGGAGGGTCCAGTCCCAGCCAGACCCATGGGCCAGCTGTCTCAGGCAGAGCTGCAGCAGGTGACCGATGACGTTTTCCTTCCCTTTCCCTTTCCCTTTCCCTTGGGGATTTGAAGGGAACTTTTTGGATGGGAGAAAAAAAGACTAAAAGCTTCATTGGTATAAATATTGGGCAAGTGTCTGTTCTAGTTCTGGGTCTTATCAGGAAATGTGGAGTCAGGTGGAAAGGCAGGCTCCTCACAGGGCTGTTGAACTCTGTCCTCCAAGCAGAGGTTGTTGGGGTAATTCACATGGACGACGGTGAAGGTCAGGAGTAGGATGTTGCTGCACGCCTGGAGTGGAAGGTGTGGATGAACCACACGCAGATCCACAAGAAGGTGGTGAATGGGAGTACTGTGGGAGAATGCAGAGGCAGTGGGGCTGTCTCCAGGCTTCTGTGCCATGTTGCCAACACAGGCTGTTCTCAACTCAGTGGCCCGTGATCCAGTCGGGAGGTGGAGAGCCCCTCCAGCTAGCTGCCCGCCTTCCTCAGGGGAACAGAGTCCGCCCATTGCCTTAAGGCCCTCTCTGGCTTAATTCCTGTTACCTCAGAGCCTCCTCACCTGCAGCTTCATCTGCCTGGAATGCTATGACCCACACAGCTCCCTCCCTCCCACCCTCCCTCCTTCAGGAATGTTCTCAAATGGCATCTTCTCAGGGAGACCTCTTGGCCACCCTGTCTCAAATTGCAACCTCCCCAGTACTTCCTGTCCTCTGCTCTTATTTCTTTTGTTTCCTTACGTTTCTCCTTAGGACTATCACTTTCTGACATGCTATGGATCTTTCTTATCAATCTGGAATTTTATCTCCTAGATTGTAAGCTTCATGAAGGAAAGGGTTTGTGTCTGTCTGTTCACTGTCCTGGAATAGGACTGGCATAGAGTAGGTGTTCAATAAACATTTGTTGAATGAATGAATGAATGAGGCTGTTTCTATTCCAAGTATTGGTCCCATTCACCAGGACCATCCTCCTGCAAGGAAGAATCCCAGCAACCAGATCATGTTTTGTGACCCACCACTGTGGCTATAGTTGATTAGATAGAGCCTCAGACTCAAGGTAGGCTGAAAAAATTCTTTTTTGGCAATTTTGGCAATGTAAAATTGGACTATTTCATTTCGGCTTAGGGGCTTCTACTAATGAGAGGTGCTAAGGTGCCCTCTGCCAGCGGAACTGGCAAGAGGAAGCTGGTCTGCAGAAAGGGGCAAGGATGTGAGAGAGAGAGAAGGACTCCAGGAGTGAACCAGGCCTTGATTCAAGTTCTCCTTGAGACCTGGTTGCATTTCTGTCTGGAGATTCCATGAGACACACCTAGAGCCAGATAACAAATTCTTCTTTTTTGGCCGGGCACTGTGGTGTAAGCCTGTAATCTCAGCACTTTGTAAGGCCAAGGCAGGAAGATCACATGAGGTCAGGAGTTTGAGACCAGCCTAGCCAACATGACAAAACTCTGTCCCTACTAAAAGTAGAAAAATTAGCTGGGTGGCTACTCAGGAGGCCGAGGCAGGTGAATTGCTTGAACCCAGGAAGCCAAGGTTGCAGTGAGCCAAGATCACATGACTGCACTCCAGCCTAGGTGACAGAGAGAGACTGCCTCCAAAAAAAAAAAATTCTCGCCAGGTGCAGTGGCTCATGTCTGTAATCCTAGGACTTTGGGAGGCCAAGGCGGGCAGATCATGATGTCAGGAGTTTGAGACCAGCCTCAACATTTTTAGTAGACCAGCCTGTCTACTAAAAATACAAAAATTATTTGGGCATGGTGGCATATGCCTGTAATCCAAGCTAATCGGGAGGCTGAGGCAGGAGAATTGTTTGAACCTGGTGGGTGGAGGTTGTGGTAAGCTGAGATTATGCCACTGCACTCCAGCCTGGGTGACAGAGCAGACTCCATCTCAAATAACAAAATGAAACAAAACAAAGCAAAAATTATCCTTTTTTGCTTAAACTGACTGGAGTTGGTTTCTGTTACTTAGAGCAGTAGAAGGACACCATTGTGCCTCTGTACAGAACTAGAATCTCATAGACCCGCTTATAATATACTTAACAGGTTAATACATGGAGCAACTTCCCCAGTACTCCCAGTACTTGTGGGGCTGTCTTCCAGCTTCTGCTATGTTCCTACTTCAGGCTATTTTTGAAACAGGCCCAATATTCCCATAGACTGTTCATTTGGATGAAAATAGAAATTGACCCTTCTGGTCTTAAAGCTTGAAACTTATATTTTTTTAAATCTGCATTCCTTCCTCAGGAAAGGATCTTCAGGCCTCTCAAAAAAAGCATCAGAGAACTAAAACTCACCAGATCACCACACCAGATGTCCCTTGGCCCCCTCCCTAGTTCTTGTTTTTTTACCCATTGTTATGTTTCTTCCCTGCTATATAAACCCGCAGTTTTAGTCAGTCAGGGAGATGGATTTGAGACTGAGCTCCCATCTCCTCTGCTGCAGCACCCGATTAAAGCCTTCTTCCTCGGCAATACTTGTCCTCTCAGTGATTGGCTTTCTGGGGGTGAGCAGCAGGACTTAGACCAAACCCCTGGTGTTTCTGTAATAAATTTTGGTTCCCTAACTGGGAACACATTGCTTGTGAT